CCTTTAAACGTGGTGGGAGCTTTACTTTGACTTTTACAATTGTAGTGATGTCTCCGTCAGGCTCATGACAAAATGACAGTGAGAGTAAAGTGGGAGATGCCCATCTTACTTCATGTAATGAAGTATGCACGCAGCCATACCCTCCTCATCTCCGGGTTACGAGGTGTACGCCAAGTCCACTTGCTAAAAAGTGTCAGCAATCTGTGCGAGTCGCAGCAACCACACAGCACCCGCTTGACCCTTTTCTTCATGGCATTCACTGTTTCGTCGACTCTATCTCTCACTAATACTTTCAACGGCTCGAAGCCAATAAAGGAACCTGCCCTACTGCACGGTTACGACTTTGGGAAAACTTAAATAGACGACAACGACAGTCGGTGAGGTCACCAAAGCGATTGTTTCCTAGACTTTTCAGGGATTGCCCTTTTTTGAGCTTTCGAGGGTTGTTCTGGATTCTGGACTGATATTGACCTACACTCGCATTTCAGCATTACGACCATGCTTCGAACGCTATCCAAATCATCGGCTTGTGAGTCTGAAACCCTACCACAGCGAGTGGAGAATGCGCTCTGAAGAAGCCTGTCTATTATTCTGCAGTGACACCAGAGTTAGTACGAAAAGGCTTCCACTCTTTGAACGCTTTTTTTATCCATGAAACAGAACTATGAAAAAATTTTCAGTCCCGATGTCGATCGATCGTCTACGATTCCGTGCAACATATCTGTCATTTCTTTCTGGACTACGGTAACGATTTCACTATTCCTGCAGCGAAAATGATATATCTGAAGGTCACCAGCACCGAGTGCTTAGGTTTGTTAGTCTAGCGATTACCTTAGGTTTCAGAAGGATTTTTAGGAGACGATACGAAAGATTTCGTGACCAATCAATTTTCTTAAGATCCTTCGTCGAGTGAGGCAAACAACGTGGACCAGAGTTCTCGTGAAGCGTCAGTAGCCGCACCTCGGCCTGCTGCTGTAGCAGTACCTCAACCTAATGCTATAGCTCCACCTCAGCCTGCTTCTATAGTTGCACGTCATCCTGCGGTAGTAGCTCCACCTCAGCCTATGATACCTCCCGGGCAATTCATCATTCCACCAACGCCAACGGCTTCCTTTGAACCGGTAAGATTTCTATCAGTTAACTCAAGAACTCAGGTGTGGTACAAGGAAGTTCGGTGCTTACTGGATCCCTCTTTTGCGATGCGCACGCGTTCCACTTTTTGTAAAAGGCATAGTGGTTCATTGATGCATTGTGGCTCATAGCATGAATTGCGGAATCAGCTGATACACGGGTCAGCCTTTTATCACCCGGGCGCGCCGGGTATTTAATAACCCAGAAGGAAGTTTTGGCTGGCTAAGTTAAAACCACCCGTCCGTGAGTCGGCTCCGACCGTGCTCGTGTTGGCAGCGGCACTTGCCACTAGATAACCTCCGCCCTGAGGCTATTTAGCATTTGGTGCCTGTACCGCAGGGTGCAGCTCGACATACAGGGTGACCAAAAAGTTCTGGCAATTTTTCGGAATACTTCGGTAGCATAAAAAATACCGTTCGAAAAAGGAAATCAGCCAACTAAACGTCTGGGAGTCTTCATCTAATCAGTACTAATGACCGTATACAACAAAGTTCCAACAAGTGTTCAAAAATGCCTCCTTCAGCCTCAACACATTTACGTAGTCGTTTTTCCAAAGTGTCCGACAATGGTCGGCGCATGGTCTTCTGGGCTGTAGTTTGGTCCCAAAACAAGCAGCAACGCCACTTTCAGGTGGTAAACCGTTGCGCATCGAATTCCTGAGATTTTTCGACCCAGATGGAATAATCCATATGGGTTCGGACCATGCTAGTTGGGAGGCCAAACGTCCTTGCCCCAAAATCGGGAAGCAGCTCTTCACAAGCGGCAGTTCGTGGGTTTGGCAGGATGTGCTGGCTCCCAGTCTTGCTGAAGCACGTGTCCATCCGGGCCGAAGTGCTACGACACCCATGGCTTCAGTAACAATCGCGGAGATACACGTTGTTTTGGGAGTAGACACATGTAAATCTTTCACGATCGATGGGCTCGATGAAGAAATGAGAGGTCTTCCGGTGGCACAGATCCCGCCTCAGACCGTGACTGAGGCTGGAAAGAGTCTGCGTCCGACGGATTTCACAGCCGTTGCCTTCTGTTGACCTTTTCTGAGGAGCAGACAACAATTCCGGTAGTTGTGATCGAAAATTTTTCTCGTCGGTGGCGAGCACATTCTTCAAGCAACAAGCACCGACCAGAAGATGGTTTTCAACAACTGCAACTTTTTGATCTTTTTTCGCAGCAGGACAGTGCGAGGAGAAATCGAAAGTGATTGGATAGATGACTCGTACGGTAGTTCGAAATGGCTTGCGGAATACAAATAACCCATCGGAGAGAAAACAGACCATAATGGCCATTCAAAAACGCACAACACGAAATTGCCAGAACTTTTTGGTCACCCTGTAGAACTCCCTGCGTGCTGGAGGCTTGCTCTTCTCTGCTTTGGATGATTTTAACGGTTTTCTTCTGTTTTTGACCCACGATGCCTGTGCCCGATACCGCAAGGTGCAGCTCGACATAGAACTCCCGATGCTGTGTGCCTATACCGCAAGGTGCAGCTCGACATAGAACTCTGGATAGAACTCGCCTGAAGTCTGATCGTCCCACGGGGTCTAAGAGAGTCAAATCACTCATATTTATATAGATGATGCCTTTTAAGATAGTGTATGGCCAAGAAGGATTAACAATACAACCCCTCCCCTTCGCCAGGTTTACTACTTTTTGGCCCTATTTGAAGATCTGCTACGCATTTGGAGCATGTTGACTTCCTGCTAGAAGTTGAGAATGAAATTAGGTTCAGATTCAGGTAACTGAAGCAGCGATCGTCGAAACGACGCTTGTAACAACAACTGACATGTTCGCGGACTTTACTACGCCGGAGAGCCTTTTTGAGGAAGGAATTCCTTTCGCAGTGCCTGGTGAGTGCAGCTGTGGAAGTCAGCATCTTAACAGAGCAGTCCATAGCTTTATGAATGCAGGGAGCCATGTTAGAATTGACTTGCTCAGATATACTCACTAACGAGTTTTTCGCTTTCAGTCCTTGATAATGCTGAAGAAGACCTCGAAATGGAGAAACTCGGTCGTAAAAACGAGTTAATGCGAGATATAAACGGGCTTGAAAATCACGACAAAAGGTACCTCTTCGCCTTTAAATTGAAGAACTTTGTCAGAACGTGGCCCAAACATTCAGATGGCAATCATCGATGGAGCAGTTGGTTAAGAATAAGGAGCAATTTGCATTCAAAGGGAGCACGTGTTTCACCGGTAAGGAATGCAAGTGCGAAATAGACTTTGCTGAATTTGAAGCTGAAAGCGATTTCCAGCCACGCCGCCCATCCGCCGCCTGTCAGAGCCGTAAAACTTCTGCCTGCTCGAGTTCTGCCTGCCCGAGTTGAGCCCATCGAGGTGCCTATCAAAGTAGAGCCTGTTCAAGTGGAGGCCTTCGTAGAAAAGTCAACCATGAGAGCACCAACAACGACCCAAAGCAACAACTATGTCGAAGGATCAGTACAGAAAAAATTGGGTGAGTGGTATATAAGCTTTGAAAACGGCTGAAGATTACTGTATGATCTGTATGTCTTATGTGTGCTGGGACCAACTGTATGAAGGAAATATTTTCAAAAGCGCGATCCCCTGTGATCATCTGAGAGGAAGGGGGTTGCTCATGTTAGCCTCCCATTACAAATAGTGCATTCGCTCCCATACGACAAAAGGTTTCTGCATATAACATGTAGAGAGGCGGGCTGACCACGCCCATACGATCAGATTAGACTAATCCTTCGAAATGATATTTCATATTGAGCCGAATGCTTTCACTGGGTTTGCTAGGGAAGATCACAGTCGAAGTAGCCGTTTGTAATTAAACCACCAAACTTGAATGCATTTTCTAACGATGATGGCTATCAAGCGAGTATTTTGGAAGGATGCTGTCGGGTAAGCCGTCCAGAAATGCTTCCTATATTCTCGTGCAGTTAGTGCAGAACAGTCTTTTTCGCAGAATTTAAGCAGTTTAACTTAAGCTTTTTCATCACTTCGCCACTGTAGAGCACCCCCAGTTACTATTTTTTGAGCAAGCACCTAATTATCATGCCTTGTGCCTTTGAAGAGAGCCTCCCGCGCTCGAGTAGTACATGGTCGTCCTTCCTTGTGCAAGTAGTACAGCCCCCAAGCTAGAGACTGTCCCACTCTATTCGTCTGCACAGCGAGCGAGAAGCGAGCTACAGCCGCTGTAAGTTCTAGTTCTAACGCCTGCTCAGTTGGACCGCCTTACTTGCTAGATGTCCTCCGACGGAGGCCACTCAGTTGTTCTTAGGGGGGGCGGTCGGGGGCGGCGGGCATTGCTAATGCCCATGGATAATTCTGCTCCCCTTTATTACAGTTTACTCATTGGAGGTATATACATTCAATTCAACTCATTTCGCGAGGTGAAACGCGTAAAAAGCACGAGTGACGCAATTTTCGTGATGCAAAACCTCAACGCACAAAACGTGCGCTACCGTAATCCCAAATTCAGACACCGCGTTGATAAAATTCCTTTTTCCTTCCAAGAGTTTTTCCTCTGCGTTTTTGTTGTTTTCTTTTTGTATTCTTTTTTTTGCACTGGATGATATCAACTACTGCGAGATGTGATAGAGAGATTTGTGAGCTAGGGGTTGCACAGAGACCGCAGGGAGGTGTGACTGTGAGGGAGCGATTTTGTTTATGTTGTTCTGGAGGACGCTTCTTGCCTGTTTTCTTCTTTGGGAGATTACTTATCAGCTACTGTTTCATAATTGGAAAGCAGCTATCCATGAGACTTTTATCGCGGGAGCTGTCTTTAAAGCATGGGGAACAGCAAAAATACCTGCCGCGTCATGTACTTTACCCGCAAAAAACAAAATTTTGTGGAGCCCAGGTGCGACCCCTCTCCCAGCAGCCGCAAACAATCCCTGAAGTTTACTAAGCATACCCTTTTTTCCTAGAATCCAACAGGACCTCTTAGTTTGCTCCGTGGTGAACTGAAATCGCTTGGAGGGAAAAGCTTATCAAACTGATGATCTCAATGTTTCAGAACAGCTTAAGCGCAAATATCCAAGCAGATACGCGCAATATCTTATCGATAAAGAAGAAGGTTTCGCCATGCATTCGCCGTCCACATTGCCAACAATGTCATCAACATCAACAACAACAACGACAACAACAACACCATCATTGATCGAAGACGTTTTCACAGCAATCCCTGTCGTTGAAAACAATCTCTTTATTGAAGATGCAGAAGTTTTGGCACCTGCTATTCCTGTGAGACCGAAAATTAACAGAAGAACGGTAAGTGTCATGATCTTCTTGCCGGTTTTGGCTTTTGTCTGAGACTGAATTCTTTCAGATGTTTCCCGGAAAACGAATCGCCTTTTCGGATGATCACATGTTTTCAAGGAAGATCGATGGAGCAGACATACGAAGACATCAGCAAAAAAGGCTCAAGGTAAAGTTCGGGATCTCGTTTGAAATGCCCAAACAGATTGGTGATTCCTCTCCTAATCAGGCTGCGTTCATACTTCGCGGCAGCCTCCACCAGCGTCTACCAGCGTCCACTAGCGTTCCGAGCGTCCGGCAGCGTCAGCGACTAGGAAAGTATAGATATCGATCTAGCGTCTGCCAGCGTCCACCAGCGTCTCGAGGGCTAGGGAAGTATAGGTATCGATCTAGCGTCTGCCAGCGTCCACCAGCGACCGGGAGTAGAGAGTATGGGGAAGTAGGAGGGTAGCAAACAGCTGGATTAGGCGTCGTGAAATTGCGGCGTGTGCAACCGCACCGCACAACTGCTAAAGCACAGAATTATGCAATTTAATGTACGGTGTAGTGTAGTTGTACGGTGCGGTTGCACACGCCGCAATTTCACGACGCCTAATCCAGCTGTTTGCTACCCTCCTACTTCCCCATACTCTCTACTCCCGGTCGCTGGTGAACGCTGGTGGACGCTGGCAGACGCTGGCAGACGCTGAATCGATACCTATACAGAACGCTAGTGAACACTGGCAGACGCTGGTGGACGCTGCCGCACAGTATGAACGCAGCGCACCCTCATCAAGAGCGCATTCCCAAGGCGCATCAGTCTGAACATCGTATAGGAAACATATTTGTCGTTGCAGCAAGTGACACTTGGTGCTCCAACTCCAACTCCAACAGCACCATCATATGTTAATAAGGCTCGAAATTTCCTGGAAATGGTGAACGTCAAAGAGAGCAGCTCGGACGCTGTGAAAAACAGTGTTGGTGGAAGCACAAATGGACAGTTCAGCGATGGTGAACAATGGAGATTTCCTTGGTAAGAAGATTGTCAAATTTTTTTTTTGCTTATTTTCTTTAATGTCTTAGTGAATAATGCTGGCTAAGCGAGCAGCATCCCAGAACTGCTCAGGGACCTTTCACTATCAACCACAGTAAGTTGCTCCCTTCCCTTCAACAATATCCGGAGGTTTGTCGCATTTTTCTATACCAGGTAAGGTGAGGAGGGCGCGACGGTCGTCTTTAGCCAGAAGGCGCTACAAGTAGAAGTTGCTTTACCCATCTGATATAGACACTATGTACTCAAAAATCCTACAGTTGTGAACACAGGCACGACACGCTGCGGTCACTCTTTCTGGGATTCGACCTTGTCTGCTTTCATCTAACCTTTCTATTCTCCCCGTCCATTGTCTCTGAAGCGGCGCATGATGTCCACGCTTCTTCGAAGGGTAGTCCTCTTCTTGGAACTCATCAGGGCGTCTTCTACAGTATTACTCATTCCTTCCGTTACTGCTGAATCAACTGCATATTCGAATTCATATTTGAACGAAATATGTAGGATACATAACATACATACGAAATCCCTGCTCAGTTGTAATCACAGAATGTGGCGTGAAGGAAGGGTCCACGATAACCTACGGGTATGTAAAAAGATGGCTGGGAAAAGGGATATGGTCCGCAGCGGACAACCTTGAATCGTTTCGCCGTGTAAAGTTGCAGAGGCGCTGAGGCGTGTAATCGCTCAGCGTTACTTTTTTCAATGACTCCGCCTTCAGACTGCGTCATCGAAGTCAGCGGAAAATGCGATGCCACCGGACCAGTAACACAAAATGGAGGTTCATTGTCGCTTGTCGGGTCGCGGTGTTCATTATAAGGAATCAGCTGACTGGACTCCCCCCAATTTTGATTTCTGGACAAATTTATTACCACTCGTTTCACCCTGATTATATGGAAAGCTCGTTTGGTGTTGGTGGGTACTCGGGGATCAAGTGCACCACGGCTTAATTAATTCAGCTTGCGCTACAGCGTTACAGCCGGATAGGGTAAAGTCTTCGCCGTTGATTGAACGCTTCTTGAATGCGATGTGGCCTATACAATGACTTGCGGGGCCAGCCGATGTACAAGTCAGTGTTTTATCCTCCCAGACGAATCTGGTACCAATTTACCGTCCCCGGAGGGTAGAAGGCTTGCCTGGGCGGGAGTCGACCCACGATTCGAACACAGGACCGCGCACAGCGTCTAAAACGGTTACAAATTGGAAAGCTTTAGGCTTTGATCAATCACTTTTGGAATTCGCCACGAACTTCGCTTGTAGTCGCGACGAAATAGGGCTGTCAAATGCGATTTGACATTTGCACCGAGACTGCCTTCGTTCTTACTCTCCCTCGATTCTGGTACCAACCAATGGACCATGGAGGGAGGGGGGGGGGCTTGGTAGAATTGAGTGAAGTCGATCAGAGATCTGGAACCCAAGCAGTGAGTGATAAACTGCGCTACAGTATGTTCACTGCTGATGATGAGGCGTGTCAGTGGGGTTGGATTTGGCCCGCCACCAGCTTGTTCTCCAGTTGTTGCTTAACCGTCTAAGCAACAGCAGCTGGTGGGAAACGAGTAGTACGAACGATATGATACAGTCTTGTCGCCTGCCGGAAGAAAGACAAACGAAAGAAAATGGTCCGGCTCCGCGTCAAACCCATCGCGCCTTGACACCTTAAATCATCCCCAACGAACAAGATTGTAGCTAACAATCAAGCACTTCAGGGCAGCTAGAATAGACAACAAATGTTCATACCTAACAGTTCCAGTCATCATCCTACATTTAAGGCTGTTCTAAAGGCGAAATTTCCATATGGCTGGCCTTCGAAAACTCGGTTGGAAGCGAACTTATTGATAGCAGTTTCGCTGAGGACTATAAAGCCTGTCGGCAAATGTGTGAAAACGAGGCAAGTGGTTCCATTTTTAGGATTTGATCTCCTGCGCAAAACACACACACACACTTCACCTTCGTACTTTTAGTCCAGCAGCTGGAATACAAAAATAAAAATACACACACACACACACACAGCACACACACACCAAAGCACACACACATCGAGCGGGCTACATCACACACACACACACACCACACACGGACACCTCACGCGTTCGTACTTTTAGTCCCGCTTTTGATTTCAGTCGTGTAGATCCATTACTTTCTATGACGAACAGCAATGTATGGTGAATGTCGAAGACGAAGGTGTGAACCTACGTCCGCCCCCACTTGGGTGCATACACAGCCAACACCACTCTCAAGTTCTGTTATCCAGGTAAATAGGTTCTCTACTTGTCGTGCCCTCCAAAAAGACAAAGTGGCTGTTTCAGATAGTGTTTCCCCTTTCCATGGCTGCTCCAATTTTGTCTCATTCAGGGATCACTCACTAACGGTAATGAATTTTTTTTCCGTCGCACTTTCGATTTTCTTGTTGTCGTCTTGTCCCCTTTCACTTTTTCGGAGTCACCTGTCACTATTTTTTCTCTCACAGACATCTCGGAATGATTCGATGAAGGAAAAAGCTTTTGAGGGGACTCAAAATCGTAGTGAATAACTGATGAACATTTTCAACCTCTTGACCGTGTTAAAAAAGGACGCACAAGTGAGGAAAGCACAATGGTTATGGCTCTGTGCCCATTTCAGCGCCTTTTCGATGATCGTAAAGAGTGGATTTTGTTCCTATTTTCCTGTTCGCACTTCCCTTATTCCATTGTGCTATTTCCATTGCCAAGCTTTTGACCGCATTCCATATTGCTTTTTGATCGGAGATATAGTCATTACCCGTGCGAAGGAGAGGGCATATGAGGGGGGGGCGTAGATTGGCGCGCAGGCAGGGCGCCATTTCCACCTTTGGTGCCACTCTGCTCCCGCAACGATCAGTGGGAAAGGTTCCCTTGGCTTTGCACAATCCACGCCCCTTCATGCGACTTCTTGTTGGCAGGGATAATGACATAAATGATCTTGTTGACATTTATGCAAAATGGGATACTGTGCAAGACGACAGTAGCTTCTAGAAGCAGGGTACAGCATCGTGATCTGTGAAAGGGTGGTGTCAGTAGGACTCCCCTCTCAAAAGTGGGTCTTCCCCCTATTGAAGGTGCGACCCGTGCAACCCGTGCAACCCCTTTAAGTGGCGACTTCCGTCATTACCCTCCTCCTCTTATGTACGGTCTCTTAATTACGACCCTCCCCCCCCCCAGCCAAGTTCCATATAACGATACTCCAACCGTGTCTAGAATTAAAGCAAGGCAACAAAGGGAGAAATAGGTTTCAGTTTTGTGTAAAAGCTGAATACGTGAGACAACTATCATTTACCTGTTCGCTGCACTTGGTCTTTCCTGAGCACCAGCATGGCATCCGTTTCTTTGTGTTTCTGTTCGCTAGCATGTCTAGCTAACCATCTCAAACTGAGAAATACTCCTGAAGCTCTCTATGTTATTTTAGGATTGTGTTTTCGCCTGTATATGTATACAATCCGTGGACCGTTCTGCAGCCATTGTGGATCCCTGCTCTTTTGTCAGTGTGTCGTGGCCTGGGGTCACATGCTGGCACGAGAGATGCCACTTCCTATGCCTCGAAAGTCTATAGCTAAGTCTCGAATGGGCTGAGAGGATACGGTGCTTTGAGTGTTTGGCTGGGTGGTGTGAGTGCAGTGTTCGTACTCCGCCCGTGCTTCTGCATGGCCAGCCACACCCTTAACAGATGAACGTGAGATCTGGGCGAAGGGCACTTCGCCCAGATCTCACGTTCATCTTGGGTTTTGTCATATTTTTACACTTTTTTCTTCACAATGATTTCTTAATTGTGTAAATATATGCTAGTAAACTATAATAAGTCGCAAAGAAGATACAATAAAAAAAATAAGCACATGCTTTCGCAGGACTGTGGGAATGGCCCAAAAGAGGGGTCTCCGCGTGTACTCCAGTACACGCCGCCTCGAACGTGCTAAAGGCAGTTGGCACGATAAATCGCTATACAGATGTAGGATTTATACGACTGGCTTAACAGAATTCCGTGACCTCGGACAAACGCTCCGTGGCGCCTTTTCCAAGGAGGGTACCGCCTATAAAACGCCGCTATCGAGCAACAAGCATTCCGTCCCAAACGCCTTCCTCGCCCGCCCGCCCACAAATGGACGACCGTTCCTGACGCTCGTATTCATTCATTTGCTAAGCAAATTATGAAGAGAAGGGATTTGTATGAAGCGGCCGTGATGCTGCATGCATATATGGGTACACATATGCAGCCGTATCTTCGGTAGCGGTGATTGGCAAGATGCCTACGGAAACTCGTCCGAAATCGATTTTCAAGTCACTGAGACGGAGGATTTCTTCGCCGGATTTTGACCGTTTCACTCCGTTCTTTCGCCATTTCCCCACTACATAGCACCCTACTAGCATTTTAGGTCCGGAGTGGGGAAAATTCCTTGCAAAGTTATGGCAGACGGCACCCAGGTATCGCTACCCTCCAGCCTTGCCACCGTACACTTTCTTGGCGCGTTACTGCAGCTGTAGACGCGTTCACCTCGCACGTGGAGATGACCGTCCTTACAAGGGAGGTCCTTCAGGTCATGGCGCGATTTTTCGAAATGGTTTGTGTGCATTTTGTAGGATTCCATATGAGGGTCACAAAAATAGGTTTCGTTTTTGCTATGCATTTACATGCCAAATGAGTGTGAAAAGAATTTGGCAAGAAAGGGCGATTTTAACCGGCTTGTTGGGAATAACTGTTTCGTGATCGACGGATGGCGGAATGGATAGCGTAATGGGCTCCTGATAAGCGTGGTTTATGGATCGGCATCCTCCTGGCGACGAAAACTTTGCATTTTTCGGATTTTCCGTCTCTTATTGTACATTAATCCTGCGTGCGTGATGATGAATATAAAATGGATGTATGCCATTTAAGACCTCATTCTATACACTCATAGTTCACGAGTCGACCCTTACGTGACCATTGCGCTCTCGAAACATTACTGAGGAAACTTCTGAAAGTTGGGCTACGGGGATGACTGGATGGATGGACTCACGAGTACGAAACGACCACGGCGCAACCTATCGCGACTTGCTCGCCCAAGAGCATTCTTGCACTGAAATCGTTGTCAACCCGCACGCAGGGGGCTGTTAAGCGCCATGTTGGCGTCAAATGGCCTCGGCGCATAAAATAAGTACCAGAATCGTGAGCGGGGCTACCAGTTATATATGTCACTTTTTAAAATTTGTAGTTGTTAGTTATGAGGGTATATACTAGTGAATGAAGGCCCAAGGTATTTGAAGTGGATAACTATTTGTACAGGAAACTGATAGCCATCACTTCAGCAAGACCAACCATCGTAGCTCGAACAGCTCGAGGAGAAAAATTGTTCGAATAATTAAGCGGATCCTGATCTCGTCTGACACTTTATAATTGGCGCCTAGCGCCATCTGGGCCGCCAACATGGCTCTGGAATACCCCCCCCCCTCACCAGCAGCGGGTTGGGATGCTGCGACAATCACTTGAGAAACTACAATGCTGCCTCACTGTGTGCCAAATAAAGTACTTTTTCACCTTGACTTGTATTGTTTTCGATGCAGTGTCGACGAAGGTCTCATTTGCTATGCATACTCGACATTAGAAATAGAAAAGAGCCTAGAAAAATGGTTCAAAATCGCTTTTTCCTCAGCAAATTTTCACTCATTTTTTGACCTTCCCAGAAATGCATAGCAAAAACGAAACCCATTTTTGTGATCCTTATATGGACCCCTACAACATGCAACAAACCATTTCTGAAAAAGCGCGCCACGACCTGAAAGACCTCCCTTGTTAGAGCCGAGAAGTTTGTATTTCGTAATCAAAGGGCAAAGCCCGCGTCCAAAAATGATGACTACGCGGTTCAGACAGTAATAGCAAGGTATAAACTGATTCAGTAGTGATGAAAAATTCCATGAAGTCATGGGGAAGTGCTCTATATAGGAGCCACATGCCGAACCGAGGTTGTACGTGCATGAGTCGATGATCGGATGTCACTTGTTGGTGACATTTCTTTTTACATATAACCTCACTCTCACCCTTCGAAGTGGAGAGAATAATAGGGCAACAGGCAACCACTAGAAATAAACGTTGGGCGTTGCGGCAGCCAGGTGGGCGGGACAGCAACGTCCTCACGAGCGAACAACTCTATCCTCTCGTTAAGTTGCAAAATATTAGTACATCCTCCATCTTGTAAGGGGCTACGATATCCAAAGAAGGTTGAGAATGAAATGAACGCGGGTACTGCCTTTAAACACATCCCGCTAAACTCAGGTGGGCAAGGAAACTGGCGAAAACGTCATCCATTACAACTTCCCTATTAGTACGGTCCTCCCCTACGCCGTGTATGAAAAAGGCCGTGTCAGTGAGGAAGAAATAATGAGTGGTGCCTCGCCCATTCAGTTATCGCAGACTGTTTCTTTGAAAAAGGCTACAAGTTACACTGACTGGGTTTCAGGTGCAACCTCGAGAGCTGTTCGAGGGCCTACCTCCCGCCTACGATGGCCTGAAGCTTTGCGTTGAACTTTGTGTTCTCAGCACAGAGTACTCATGTCGGGTAAGTAACTAAGTAACTCGTTTATAATGTCCCTCATTCTCCTTAATGTCAGAATTCCCTTGTTTCTGTGATGGAGGACTTATGAGAACCACATTTCTGCCTCTAACATTTCTCGTCCCTTTACATTAAGAACCAGGTTCACCAAAAATGAGGCAGAGGGAAACTATATGACGAGATGACACATGACGTAGTGAGCGGGATCGGGTGACGCCGAGATAGTCTCGCAGAGTAGAGACCACCATGTGGGCGATGGCGTGATAACTCATTTCTTTTACATTTGTGGTGCGCACAGGTGACGAAGAAGAGTAATGGCGCTGTCGCCCTAGTGGTGGTCTAGTTTCTGCACGGCGACTTTCACACTACTGGTTCATGACCGGGCGAACCCGCTTCTTTATGACAAGCGGTTTTTTTCTCACCGCCAAGCCCGCTAACCCACTGCAGTTTTTGATTCATATTCAAAAATAACTTTCCAACCAGATTTGTCCAATTCTAGTTTTCCTTACATTGATTTAATCAATAAATGATTGCAGTCGGCAAGTTTTGAGATGCTGGAAGGAGTATGCAAACTGTATGCTGTGAATTCGATCTCAGCTCCAGCTAAATTCAAGCCTTCTGGTGTTGAGCACCAACTATACTTTGAGAATGGATGTGCTTCTCAGCCTGAGCTCTCTCCAGTTGGTCAGTGATTTTTTTTTATGTGATTCCGTACGGAGCACATAGAGCTCACAAAGAGCTAGGAGTTATTGAGAACGCCGATAAAAATGTAGGAAGACAGGTTTGGGATTGGCAAGAGGTCGTTGTGTGGCATCGCAACCTTTGCGGTACATTTGCGCAGAAAGGCAAGAGAGACGCTCTTGTGCTAGCTCCAGGCTACTACTATCCAAGTATGAAGGGAAAGCAATGGCTGCTTCCTTCAACTGCGGCCAATGACGAGTCCCACCGTCTTACAGATGTTACGCGAAAGGCAACTTGTATGTGCGCGACGTCACGCGTTACCCTCTTGATACAGAATTTGCCACCCGTTATACAGCAGATATACGGTTAGGCCCGTTTGACTTCTTGAGGCAAAACTACGCGAGAGCGCTACAATGCATGGATAGGGGGGAGAGCATACTTCTCAGGGACGTACCTTCGCCATTAGGGCGCGTTCATACTTTGCGGCAGCGTCCACCAGCGACGGCTAGCGTTCCGAGCGTCAAGTAGCGTCAGCGACAGGAAAGTATAGGTAACGATCTGGCGTCCGCCAGCGTCTGAGCGTCTGGCAGCGTCCACCAACGATCGCGAGTAGAGGGTACGGGGATGTAGGAGGGCAGCAAACAGCTGTATCAGGCGCCGTGAAACTGTAGTGTGTGCAACCGCACCTAGAACACTACACTGCACAGTAGACTGCATAATTTTGCGCTTTAGCAGTTGTGTGGGCGGCTGCACAGCCGCACTTTCGCGACGCCTAATCCGGCTGTTTGCTACCCTCCTACTTCCCCATGCTCTCTACTCCCAGTCGCTGACAGACGCTGGTAGACACTGGCACACAAAGATCGATACCTATGCTCCCCTAGCCTTCGAGGCGCTGTCAGACGCTGGTGAACGCTGGCAGACGCTAGATCAATATCGGTCTCGATCAATTTTCGTAGTCGCTGACATTGCCGGACGCTCGAAACGCTAGTGCACGCTGGTAGGCGCTGGAGGGAGCTGCCGCAAAATATAAACTCAGCCTCAGTTTTGCCTTATTTTTCTTTGTTCACGATGATTCAACCACGATGATTTCAGACAGAGGTTTTGTCACCGTCGAGCGAGTCCCTTTGAAAGACCAGTCGTCGCGTAAAGCACTACAAATCAAACCAATCAAATTGAAGAAACGAAAGTTGCATAGACGGAGGTAAGCTACCTTCTGGCTTTCAACTTGAGTCTACCGTAAATCAGTTACTGTGCAAACTTCAGGAGAAACCCAGAAATCGTAACTTCGTGATGTGCTCTGCAGTGACTACTGTAAACGTCGCCAATCATTGCTGACAGCATCGTCAATTGTACATAGTAATTACTATCTGCTAATAGCTGCTATAGCTCATGTAATAAGGAGTTATTCTATGGTCAGTCAGTGCACTTAGGAAATCCAGTCATCTCAAGCATTCTCGCTGTTCTTTCAAATAATGCATTCCACTTATGGTTTTTCTGATGTCCATTTTAGATTTCTGACAGTCAGAATCCAGTACATTCTCTGAAAAGGCTAATAATACATTTTTCAAATGTCTTGTGGTGAAATTTGAAGCTGCACGCGTTCTCGCGTTTTTACGTGTGATTGTCCACTCTTCAATTTTACAAGTGTTGCAATATGCTAAATTAATGTCAGCTGAAGAAAACGTTTAATAAGATACTTTGCCAAGAACGTGTTCGAAAAACAAACCTTGCAACTGGAAATCGCAGGCAAAAAAAAGGTTCATTTATGAAAGTAGGGGTACTCAGTGCGAGACAGTGAAGGAAAAAGCGGAAGAATTGACCGATTTCGCAAAATTGGACTCCCGTGACCAGGGTCAGTTGAGCGGACTAGCCCTCGATATGACCCGTCCCATGAAGAAAAGGTCTATGCAACCTTTCCCCCCCCCTCTACGCCAGTACTTGTCCAAACTTGGCTACTTCGACGTAATTCCGAATCAGCACATGTCCTACGCTACTACGCGAGATGCAACAATAACAAAAATGTCCAGCTGGCAATGCACGCGTTTCTTGCCGAATAGGATTTCGAGCCGATGATGGACTACTCCGGCGCAATGTCCGATTCAGTTAATCAACCCACCGAGCACTCAAAATGGAAGTAGCGTTTTATGAAGTGTCATTGAATCAATGAAGTTCATCTCACTGCATGTTAGTGCACAACCTAACCCTTCCCCTAAGGCTGCGTTCATACTTTGCGTAGGCATTTTGAGCGACTACGAAAGTATAGGTATCGAACTAGCGTACGTTTTCACCGTACGCCAGCGTTTTCGGCGACTACCCGCGAAAAGTTCAAGAATACCACAAGCCCAAAACGGTGGTCTACGCTCGAAGTGCTAGATCGATAACTATTTTTCCCCCTAGTCACTCGAAACGCTGGGTTGGTACCAATACGTTCCCAGTTGCTCAAAACGCTGACGTAAAGGATGAACTCAGCCGAACCAGTGTTTGGAATTGATGGTGTCAGTGCAGTGAGTTTCTTCATTTTCAACACTTGTAGTCCTCCACTACAGAATATTGACAAAACCTCTTCGTTCAGCTGTGAAAAAAAAACTGGACAACAAAACGTAGTAGACCTGTGGAAAATCAAAGTCTATGAGAAGAACAAAACTCTGGAACAAAAAAGCTTAACAACATAACAAAGAAAAACCTAGGGCAGTCTTCGCAGTTAACTCCACAGAAACCTAAATCTTCTATAAACACCAGATAATTGCAAAATATGAGTTCCTAATACTGTGCACCCAACCTTGTGCTTCCCACCACATAGCTGCCCCTTATTACTCGTTGCTGTTTCGATCCAAAGTCAAATATATTATCGCTGTAAGAACGCCTTCATACTTCGCGATCGCGCGATGGGATTGCAATCGGATCGCTCGATTGGATCGGGTAATCCAGTCCAGCGATCCCGAACGGGGCGCTCCACCGCAAAACAGTGCAATTGTCACAATTTAAATTGGCACTGCGTGAATGTGGCTCAATTTGGATTTTGAAGTTGCTACGGTGCACCGTTTGGCGGTAGAGCGCCCCCGGTCCGGATCGCGCAATCCAGTTGAGCGATCCGTACCGGGGCGCTCTACCGCCAAACGCGATCGCGAAGTTCGCGTGATCGCGGAGTATGAACGTATTGTAAGGAGCTTTATCAGGTAAAATTGAGATAAGCAAGATTCTCATCTATCTCGAAACATTACTTCTGCATTGGCCAAAATGAGAGAAGGGAAGCAGAAGGTGAGAGGTGCAATGATGAGGTGCACTTCTGCACCAACACGTAATTGTGGTTTGAGAATAACAGAAATGAGAAAAACGAAACATTACTAGACGTTACTGTAGTTCAAGGAGGCTACGCGACAGCGCGACAAAGCTAGTCTGTCGGCGTCACGAGACGAGCCTACAGTAACGCCCCGGTCTTCACGAAAATGGAATAACTTGACTTAAATCAACATAATCAACTTCGCAGAGTTCACCTTCCTAGTACTTCTGGGCTACATCGCTGTAGTAGACAGGAGGTGGTGGCGGGGCCGCTGGAGAATAGTAGACAGGCGCTGAAGGAGGTTGTACTGGTTGTTGCATTGGGACCAATGGCTGTGCAACGTTCACCTGAAGATCGTTCCCAATTTAGTAAATTCATTGTAAGTACAGTCTGATTCGCTGCGGATGATGGGGCGCGTCAGTGCGGCGCGTTTGGCAAGATGCCAAACCCGTTTTTCGCCGGCTACAAACGTCAACAATTGGTGAAAAACGAGTGATACGAACGATATGACACAGTCTTGCCGCCTTTTCGCTTCTATAGCTGGTGGAAAATGTGAGAGGCAGAGCGCCAAATGCACCCGCACTGACATGCTCTATCATCCGCAGCGATCCGGACTACACTATATAGATTTTTTGAAGATACTGACAAATCATGGTGAACATACAGTGGTTGCGACAACGATGCCCTGTTGATCCTCCTGACAAATCACGTAAAGCGCATGGACGATTCCAGGAATTATTCCACATAACGTCAGGAGGACATTGATGACCAGGTCCATAGTGCATCCAGAATGGCACAGAACTGCCAGCGGCTGACAATAATAATTCATTACATAACGATACTAATAGATTCATATAGATACGGGCCCAAGTTTAATACATGTGTGGGCCAGATTGCTTTTGGGGCAGAGAGCAGAAGATACTTAGAACCACCACTACAAAGTTTATTTTTGCTATAGACTGCTAGCTGAAGTCTTGAGCAAAGAGCTTAGCCTAACCCGGTGGCACGCTTCCAAGAATTCTCCAACTTCTCTCTTCTTTCTCAATATGTTATTTGTGTTTCACTAGCTTTGTGCCTCACGAGCTTAACAGTGTGTTATTCAAGGAAATGGTCCAATGTTTTGACCAAATACTCGTCTTCAGAAGCCCACGGTTCCACCCTTAAAACGGAACAGCAGGAGCACTACTTAGTGGTACAAATCAATATTTCGGTGTATTTTTCTGTACTTATTTTATAATTTTGTTATTTATTATTATTTATTTATTTTTTATTATTATTTATTTTGTATTTCTTACAACTAATCAGAGCCCTTGTGTGACGGCGCACTTTTCCGCTCAGATGGTAAGACCTCTGAAAACGACGATTTAGCGCTAATGGTAGGACATTCCAGTGAATGTCCCACCCAACAACCTCGTAAGGCACAAAACTCCTGAATTTAAAAAATGATTGTCGTGATTGTTAATCTTAGGAGCACGGCGTAAAGACAGCTGCCTGTACTAAACCTGTATCGAAATGTTTTTCTTTCTTTGACAGGAACGTTAAGTACATGAATTCCCTTTGCAGCAGTATCTCGGAATTATAGGTAGATGAGTAGGGCTAATTTGACGCGGTGTCGGAAATTTCAAATCTGTCTGTTAAGAATGAAATGCCTTATTCGTTGCCAGTGTACAAGGAAAATATGACGGTCACCAATTCCGTCCCTTGAAGTCTCGCCTCCCGTCCCCAGGGCTCTGAGTGCAATGAGGACACCGCTCACCGGGAAACCTGGTGAGCAACGTCGAGTTCCATCTATTCCTTTGGCGCACTGCTGTAGATGAAGGGCCGTATGAGGCAGTAGGAGTGTGTGACAGTGCCAAACCATCCACTGACAGTTGGTAAAGCACGTATGCTAAGACAACTGGTAGAAAACGAGTGATACGAGCGATATGACACAGTCTAGTCACTTGCTCGCTTCAAGCAGTGGTGGAGGACGGATTTTACACCATGCTTAATTCAACACGCCTGACACGCATCTTCGTCCGCAGCGACTAGTCTGCACACATTCCTCTGAGTACATCACCTCAACCGCTCCACATTTGCAGAGCATGAGCGCGGATTTAAGGCTGCGTTCATGCTTTGCGTCAGCGTTTTGGGCGCACGGCACCGTTTTGGCAGCGTTCAGACTTCGCGACGGACAGCGCTTCGGTCGCGCGTTCGACGCGATCGATGCGCATGCTTTCGACTGCATCGATCGCGTCGCGCGCGACCGAAGCGCTGCCGTCGCGAAGTCTGAACGCTGCTTTCGAGCGTTTCGAGCGACTAGAAAAATGTAGGTATCAGCATGGCGTACGCCATCATTTTGAGTCCATGTCAACATTTTCAGCGACTGAGCGAGATAATCCTCTGAACAGTGGCGTGCTCACAACACTAGATCTGTATATACTTTCTCAGTCACCCGGCAAGCGGGCGAACACTCGAGACGATAACGTGCGCTCAAAACGCTGACGGAATAAGTATGAGTGCAGCCCAACGCTTCGAAAAGAACCCGGCGCTTTTGCGATAACACTGACATCGTGAGTTGCGGCCAAAGGAGTAGTTGCCAAAACATAACAAAAATTGTGCAAAAATGGAGAGAAACTCACGGGGGCGAAGAATGCACAAACAAACTGGAAGCACGTGCAGCACATACCTCGCACTGAAATGACATTTTCCAGGCATAGGGCAGAGAAAAAGGTAACGAAATCAGAAAACAACGTATAAACACACTTTGAAGAGTTCAGAATCTTCTAATGACAACTACTACATACAAGCTTTTTCAAAATATTGCAGCTCATACTGGCGTGTGCCAATAATGAGCTACTAGAGAACTGCAGAAGTTTGACGGGTAGTAGATACGTAATTATCGAGTGAATTGATGCACAGGAGGATCTGGCAGGGGTGTATGTCGTTTAGCGCGATCTCTTCGCTACCGAGAGGTCAAAACACGCCAGGTCACTCTTCTAGGTGAAGCAACTCGTCCGAAAATTCTGACTAGTGCATTTCCCTAAGAACCATGAGGAGATGACCTCACTCAGAAACATGAGCCCCGGTGCCAGCACTCACGAGTTTAGATTTCAGTTTACGTTTCAAGGAAGAATACGTGAAAAAATAAACTCGAAATGTTGATTCGGACGAGTTATCCAACCGGTAGGCACGGTTACAAGACATCTGTCACCGGATGCTCTCTCAAAGGGAGGGTCCAGAAAGTTTACTCATCGCATCTTCTGTTCGAGCATTTAGAGGAAGGGAAATAATGAAGCAGATGAGAGAAGGAAGGAAGAAAAAGAAGGAAGGAGGAAGGAAAAAAGGAGGAGGAAGGCCCGCGGTTGACAGATATCCTGAGATCGGTAGCCACGTTATACAGTCGTCATCCTTGCACTTGATAGGGGCGTGTCGGCGAGAAGGAGCGTGCACACTGTTTGAAGCCTTCTCAGCCTTTTCGTTGAAACGCGTATGCGACAAAAAGTGATAGAAAACGAGTAACACGAAGGATATAATACAGTAATGTCACTTCCTGGTTCAACGATTGGTGCAGTACGGGTGCGGGCGACCGCGCCGCACGCAGCCGCACTGACATTGACTATCAAGTGCAAGGATGACGACTGTATGTACATAAGGCATTGTTCACAGTCTGCGGTCCAGCGTTTCTCTGGAACGCGGCGGTTCGGCGAAAAGCTTTCGATACGTATCGACTGGCGGTTGGGCGAAGAGTCTGGCGGTTGGGCGAAAGGGTTTTGATACGAATCGACGGGCGTTTCGCCAAACCGCGACGTTTTTCGCCTTCGACGAAACGCTAGCTCGATCGCCCTGGCGTTTTTCGCCAGCGAAATCGATACGCATTTATTGCTTTTCGCCCAACCGCCGAACCGCGGCGGTTCGGCGAAACTAGCGGTTGGCGATTCTCCGATCGATGATTTTTTGCTTTCGCCCAACCGTCGCCATTTCGTCAGGGGTGTATGCCGTTTGGCGCGATTCTTTTGTGGTCTACGCGAAAGAACATGTCAGGCAGACTGACTTCTAGGAGAAACAACTCGCCATAACCTCCGAACTAGTGTATATCCCCAAGTGATCACTAGAAGAAAACTTACTGTAATAATAAGCGCTATCACCAAAAACAGGAGGGTTTTTATAGGCTACAAATTACGAAAACCTTATAGTTCAGTGATTCAAACAAGTTATCCGGTAGGCATGTACCTGTCAGAACACGTAAACGGCAATGAAATCGCGCCAAACGACCGCCTCCCCCAGACGTGCCCTCGCTGCGAGGTCCAGGGTTATTTTCACGAGGCATCTACCAGTCCAGTAGTTGAAGGGAGAAGGTAAAGGAGGAGGGATCAGAGAAGGAAGGAAGGAAAAGAAGGGAGGAAGAAAAAGGAAAGAGAGGAGAGGCTTCTCGGTTGACAAGTGCCCTGAAACGGTAAACGACAACGTGATTGCGGCTTTTTCGAATTCGCGCGCGATCCGCGATTTCTTCATTGTGTGCCTATTCGAATTTCCTGTCATGCTCCTGCCGCGAAAAGCTGTAACACTGACGGCCAGAAGATGGCAACTGCTAAGACAGTTTGAAGTGGAGCACTCAATGCTCGAATGCTCGTCCTGCTCCTGGTGAAAGTCTTGGGGAAATACGATCTGACCTCCTCCAACTTTTCCCAGCCCCTTACCATGAAATTTCCTGAAAATTCTCTACAGTTTTTCACCAAAAGATTTGTCGCTGTGGGGGGGGGGGATAAGTCACTGTGTGTAGGATTGAGTTTTTTGAAAAACACAGTACTTAGCTTCGTTGCAGGACCTGCGACCGTACATTTGCAGCACTCTGCAGGGCATTTCAAACTAGCCCTAAATTTTATGCGTTTTCTACTAGATTTGGTGGGAAGGTAGACACTTGTCAGTGAGACAATGATGTGGATATAAACACTCTGCATGTCTTTTGTAGGGGTCGGTATTACATATGAATGGCATATTATAATACATTTGAAGGACAAGTGAGCATATCGGTCTTCTTCGCCGCAGGAGAAGTAAAGATTTAGAATGGATTCTAGATGATAAAGAAGAAGACACTAATATTCCCTCAGGCAGGCTGACGAGAAGAAGGAGTTAGCTATAAATGCTTTCAAATGTGTGATCAGTTTCACGATTCCTGCATTGATTTTTACAGATTCCCATACTAATAATAAGTAACAAACCAGAAAGAGCTCGAGCCTATCAAACTGAATAGGATCCTAGCCTTAGGGATGTGTCTCCACTAATTGTAAGACTCAAGCACAGGGTACAGCATCGTTGTGTGAAACACATGGGGGTTTGTACTTGGAGTGGATAATTAGTGGATGGTCTGAAGTGGGAATATGCATTTGCCTAAATTGTTGTGCAGTAAATAGTAGGTAAATAAACAAATAAATAAACATACTGATTTACGAACCCTTGATTTTGACTCCCATTCACTGTGGCACATACCCCGTTCACTGCGATTATGCCACCATTGTGTTCACTTCGATTATGCCACCACTGTGTTTCTGGGAGTCAAATTATGAACTATTGCCGAGGGCACCAACCATTTGGTATACTACCGCGTGCCCCCTCATTCGTCCGCCAACTGATTGCCTATCGTTTCCCACATTTTCCGCTCTCGGGCTCTTCTGGAACCGAATTACGAATTTTTGAAATATGTAGCTCACAACTGTGCGCACGCCCCGCCCACAGTGGGCGGGGCTTAGCTTAGTTCATGTGTGTTCCGTACATCTTGGCCCATGCCCTACCCAACCCACCCTTGACCCGCCCCCTCAACTGGCTCTTCAGGTGATTCCGAATTTCCGGACAGACAGACAGACAGACAGACAGACAGACAGACAGACAGACAGACAGACAGACAGACAGACGTCGCCGTTTATATATAGTAGGATAGAGATCAGCAAGTACCCTCCCAATGGTAAACAACTGTGAAACTACTGTATAGTCGATGTGTGGTCTGTCGGTATTGGATGATTAGTGGATGAACTGAAGTAGGAATATGCATTTTCCTAAATTGTTGTGCAGTAAATAGTAGGTAAGTGAACAGATAAACAAACATACTGATCTCTGTGACCCCCATTCGCTGAGACACCTACCCCGTTCACTTCGATTATGCCAGTATTGTGTGTCTGGGAGCCAAATTATGAACTTGCCGAGGGTACCAACCATTTGGTATACTACCATGTGCTCCCCTCAATTCGTCCGCCAACTGAGCCAATCGTTTCCCACATTTTCCGCTCTCTGGGCTCTTCTGGAACCGAATTACGAATTTTTGAAATATGTAGCTCACAACTGTGCGCACGCCCCGCCCACAGTGGGCGGGGCTTAGCTTAGTTCATGTGTGTTCCGTACATCTTGGCCCATGCCCTACCCAACCCACCCTTGACCCGCCCCCTCCAACTGGCTCTTCAGGTGATTCCGAATTTCCGGACAGACAGACAGACAGACAGACAGACAGACAGACAGACAGACAGACAGACAGACAGACAGACAGACAGACAGACAGCGGACGGACGGACGTTGCCGTCCCTGCCGATGGTAAACAACTGTGAAACTATGGTATAGTCGAAGTGTGGTCTGTCGTTATTGGATAACTAGTGGATGATGTGAAGTGGAAATATGCATTTTCCTTAATTGCTGTGCAGTAAATAGTAGGTAAGTGAACAGATAAACAAACATACTGATCTCTGTGACCCCATTCGCTGAGACACCTACCCCGATCACTTCGATTATGCCAGTATTGTGTGTCTGGGAGCCAAATTATGAACTTGCCGAGGGTACCAACCATTTGGTATACTACCATGTGCTCCCCTCAATTCGTCCGCCAACTGATTGCCTATCGTTTCCCACATTTTCCGCTCTCTGGGCTCTTCTGGAACCGAATTACGAATTTTTGAAATAAGTAGCTCACAACTGTGCGCACGCCCCGCCCACAGTGGGGGAGGGCTTAGTTCTTGTGTGTTCCGTACATCCTGGCCCATGCCCTACCCAACCCACCCTTGACCCGCCCCCTCAACTGGCTCTTCAGGTGATTCCGAATTTCCGGACAGACAGACAGACAGACAGACAGACAGACAGACAGACAGACAGACAGACAGACAGACAAAGACAGACGTTGCCGTTCATATATAGTAGGATACGACTTCATTGAATTTTGAATCCATCTCATTTGCATGAACTTTCCGTAACTATGTGGTTATGATGAAGCACAGAAAATGACTCTGAAAGCCTGTGAAAATGATAATTAACCTATCTAGTGGATCATTCAGGCAAAGACATTGTTTTCATAGCCTTCCTGAAATGCGTTGAATCAGAGTTTCGAGCTGCGAGGCTGAGCGAAAATAGCGATTTTTAGTGGATTCTCGCCCTTTACGAAGGACCACTCACATAACCGCCTGCGTTCCCCATAAAGTGATCACTCAACGTCCATTTGAGTCAATCCTCTGACAATCGCAGTAATTTTGATGGCTGTCTAAATTGTCCCGACATCTCAAAGTGTTAGTTAAAGCATATCAGTCATCATCATCACCATCATCATCGTAAATGCGACATTGCAACGCAGGATAGCACCTTCACTAATAAAGAGAGTGACATGAACTTCTTTCTCCGCGACTTATTCAATTCCGTGGACGTTAGGATGTATTCCGTGTTATAAGATGATTGTGTGCCAGGAGGACAAGGATTCGCGTAGGCATTCACCAAAGATAGTGAAATATTCAGGTTCGAGTGCGTAAAGCAGATATGCATGTGTATTTGGCCCGCAGCGGCATCTGTGCATGTGTCACGAGTGGTCTACAGG